CCAGGCGGATATCTCCTGATGCGCCAAAAATCTGCGCTGAAATTGGCTCCAATCCCCGCCTTCCGCCTTGAAGGCTGACAACGTGGGAAGGCGCTGCTGAAAGATGAAGTCGTCCTCCTCCTCGTGCTTCCTCTCTGCCGCCCCGTCGGTGTGTAAGATGGCGGCCCCATCGGCGGGTGTGTGATGGTGGTCCGCCGCGCGCGTTGGTGACGTCAGCGGGCGCGCATGGAGAACCGCTGCCACGTGGTGATGGCCGTTCCCGCCAAAAGTCGGTGCAGATGAAATGGCGGGCATCGCCAAATCGTTTTGGCGGGAATCTGCAGGGCGACCCTGCAGAACGTCGGCCCCCGTTCCCGCTCCTCCCGACGAGCTGATCTCCGCCAGGATGGACGCGGCGGCGAGCAGCAGCTCCGCCAGACGGGAGTGCGCTTCGCGAAGCACGACGTCAGTCCCCCGTCGCTCGTCCGGCGCCGTCGGCGGATCCTGCCCCGTGGGCAACTCCTCTTCCTCACCCCCCGATGCCAGCTGGCCCGCGTCGTCGAGGTTGTCCCCGTGGTCAATCCCGTGGGTCCGACGGTTTCTCCTTGTATCCATGCTTGGAAGACCGTTTCACTTCTGACGCCAGTTGAAGTATGGGAATTGACGGCAGGAACTTCTTGACGGGAACACACTTTTTATTAAATTTTTACGTGTCAAAATACAACGTGTAATCGCCTTTCTTCCGACTTCACACTCCACTACTCTCGTGTAAACTCTAGGCCTCTGGCTACACACGATACCCTTCACTCGTGTAGACCCTATGCCTCTGGCTACACAATACACTCGACTCGTGTAGACCCTATGTCCCTGGCTACACACACTGCATTCGGCTCGTGTAGACCTTATGCCTCTGGCTACACACACTACACTCGCCTCTGGGTTACACAGAGTCCCGGTCCCGTTAGGACAGCGGGACTAGGTACCGCAGGGCCCTAGGTCTTCATCCCCGTCTTCATTCTTCGCTGGTTACACACTCCCCTCACGCCTGTGTGCATCCCCTTTTATAGCCCCTGCTCACGAGAGACGAAGCTGATGCGTACGTCAACGTGAGCATCGCTCCTTAATGAACCAATCACGACGCACTCTCTCTACGATCCGTTTTCCCCAGCGCGTGTTAACACTCCTCCACCAATCACACCGCGCTGCCACCCGATCACTCCCTCTCAGCACGTCACCGGCCCACAGCCAATCAGTACCCCGTAACCCACGACCCCGCGCTGACCCCTGATCCTCCACCGTCAGCGCGCGTCACCACCTACACAGCCAATCATTACGCGCTGGCATACGATCTCTAATCCCAGCGCGTATCACCTCTACACGTGTAAGAGCACTAATCCAATATTTCTGAGATAATGGAGCAAAATCTCATGTCAAGCTATCTGTGTTTAAATCAGCTTTCCAAGTGTAGTGAGTCTGATGGGCTCTATGTGCTCACAATTGAAACTTATACTAATGGCACAAAACATACTAATGGCACTAAAAAACAAGTACATTTGTTTTGTCACTTCAAACATAATGATCTGTCCAGGGATAATCCTTGTTTGCACGGTGTCTTCGTGTGGACTGCTGCAGTGCTTACATGTAATTACTTTTGACTTTTCTACGGGAAACTACGGCAAAGAATAACTACATTGTATTTGCAAATATCGCTCTAATTTGGCTAGAATAAGACCACATGGATTTCACACCATCACCGTTCGGCGACACCTCTGATTAGAACGTGCACGTGAACCAAAAGTTAGGTAAGATGTTATACTCACATTTAATAATAACGGCGAGAAGCATTCTATTTAATCTACTTCGTATGAAACCAATTAGTAATTTTTATTTGTTTTACCTTTTCCTCTCTACTTTATAGTCATAGTTGGGAGCAGGCCAAATGTTTGCGTTATTAATTGCCTTGACTGATTTGAGTGAGGTATCTAGACTGGACCATCGATGTGAGATGGCAGGGATGGAGCATCAGTTCTCAGGCACAGTAGTCACTCTTGTGCCTCACAGCGACATAAAAAGTGTGTTTCAATCCCTGACCCGGGCACCTTAATATGCGGAATTTGTATGCCCCCCCCCCCCCCCCCACTGTTCTGCATTGGTTTTCTCTGAGTTTTCCAGTTTACTCCCATATCTAAAAACAAACAAACCAAACACACACTGATACAAAAATGAGAATAGGTTTTACTCTTTCTGCCAATAAAACAGAGGTGTTCAAAAACCAAATAGGTACCTTTTGGATGGCATCAAGTCTGCATTTAACCGCACGTATGTGTGGCAAAACATGAAAACAAACATGCTCTGATAATATATGCATTGTCCTTGAAACCGATTGGTCTACACCATCATTTTTCTTATTTTTCATCATTTTTATACTGGCAAAAAAGGTCCCATTGATACTAACGCAGAATGTCAAAGGTTTTGGCCAAACGTCCCAATGCAGGGGAGGGGGGGACCTCGGGACCTCACTTAAACAAGAGTCTTAAGACTCGTATCTGTCCTGTGTATATAATAAATTATTGTCCCGTTGAACTCGAGTCTTTCCACGACGGCCAAAACCCAATGTTGCAAAAGTCAACAACGCGAAGCTCCATTGGAGACTCAAAGCGAGCTTACGGTGGGGGGGGGGGGGGGGGGGGATTGCAACGCTGAACAGCCGGGGGCTTTTGCCCCAGCGTTCGGAGGGTGCAGCAATGGTTGCAACGCAGCGAGGATGCGCCGTGTAACCCTGAGCTTCTGGCTTTAAAAAGAAAAAACCTCGTTCAACACCGTAGGCCGGATTTGCCTGACGCCGAACATTCGCGGGCGAGCCAAGCCGTGAGAGCGGAACCGGTGCACGGAATCGTTGAACGCGTGCGCTAAGGCTTGAGAGCAAAACGAACCTAACCATTGGCCTGGAGGAACTGCTCGCGTCATGTCAGACGTAATATTGTGGCGCTATTATTAAGGAGCACCGCTGGATCTGTAACCCAATTAAAGAAAACCTTGCTAATGTCATCGATGATTCTCAACGTGGAAAATGCACAATATGCTGGTGCTACGTACATGTGTATATATTATAAGATATTTCTGAAGAGACCAGCAACTTAGCCTGTCCCTTGATGCAATGGGAATGGCGGTGAAGGCGGAGGTTAGTGAAGGCTAATGTACGTCAGTGTTCAAGCATATTAAATATGCATTAAGGGAAGGAGGTGCTGGTCTCTTCAGAAATGTCTTATAATATATAGGTGGCTCATTGGACAGAGCTATTGATTTGTCAGAACTCTGAAACACCATGACTGATATCCCAGGGTTTTACACCAGATGTATTCCCACAAAGTAATAACTACAGTTCCCTTGTGGGTGGCAAACATGTGTTTTCGTCTGCCTCTAATGACTGAATCATAATCAGTCAGCAACTCTATTTAGACTGTAGGAGGAATCCGATGAGCTGTGAAGCTCGGTTTCACAGATGTCCAGTAGGGTCACGGGGTCATAAAGTTGCAACAACAAACAACACAAATAACGGACAGGAATGTGGGAAAGATAAGTGAGTCACACAAATAAATAAATAACGGCTGTAAGTCCAACGTGCAAATTCCTGCCGAATTTCAACACTAAATGCAAGCTTGGGCAAGGCAGCAAAACGACAACAACAACAACTGAATTAAAAACTGAATTTTTTTATTATTTTTTTCATTAAAATAACCCATGCACATTTCAGCGGACGTATTCTGAAAGGATTAAACACATTCACGACAAGCGATGGTGTCCAGGATGGAGTAAAATAGAGGATTAAGTTGTGTCATGTGAGGTGAAGGACTGCGGTGGTCTTTCTGGGTGAATCCTCCATCTAACGTGCAGATGCAATGATTACTATTTTCTCACAAAACCGTGGCAGATATGGAAAATCGACGAAAAAAACAAAACAGAACAAACAAAACAGATGTATCGCAGTGTGGCACGCATTCGGAGCGCACGGACGCTATACCGTCACAAGTGGTTGTTTGGTTCAGATCGGATCCCCAGCCAATCCAACGCAATCCCCATTTGCTCTGGATCCGATTGTGATCGACTTCAGTGATTCACGTAATAATGTGTACGCAATGCTCGTAGATTTCGATTTAAAGCTTTCGTGACTGCAGGGATTCATCTTCTTGGTTCTTTCGGTAAAGTCCCTTCTACGTGACTTTACCGAAAGAACCAAGAAAATGCTCGTAGACTTAAAACAGCAAAAAAAATGTGTTAACCTCCTTGTTTTTGTGGGAATAGAACTACACGTTAAAGTAATATATGAACCCAGAAAATCCTCAGGGATGCTTTGTCTCACCGCTCCTCCTTTTTTTCTCAGGAGGTTCCTGCGTTTGGGAAATTTGGGTTAAATCCCATGAAGGTTTTTTGCTTCATGTGCGGAAAAACCCAGGAATCCCGAAGAACAAGGCCCCACAAAGACAAATATCACCCATATATTCCTTGGGTCTTTCGGTAAAACCACATAGATGAAATAATAAAAAATAATAAAAATAAAATAATGATATTGTTATTATTTTTATTATTTTTTATAATTTTATCTATATACGTGGCTTTACCGAAAGACCCCAAAAATATGAATTCCTGCAGTCACGGAAGCTTTAAGTCAGAATCCTCCATATAGCCTGAACAGACTGTTGGGGCAAGTGCTGTTAGCGAGCGTCGACAAAGACCGGCACGGCACACGAGGGGGTGGGTGGCCAACACCACGCCAGGCCGCCTTTGTCTCCGTAGTGGAGATCTTTTACACACAGCACCAGGTACTCATTTGAGGCTGAGTCGACCTAGGGGAGGCCCCGGAACGGTTCAGATAATCGTCACTCGTGTTGGCTGTGAGCGCACTAACTGCAACACGACCGCTCTCCCCTCCCCAAACACACAGACGCGCAAAACAGCTCGTTTCTCTTTGGTTGCGTCGAATTTAAACGGATCCCTCTTTTCTTTGTTTTTGTTTTGCCCAGCCGAGTGCGGAGGACAAATCCGCGGGGAGTCGACGGGAACCATCCTTTCTCCGGGGTTCCCATCCCCGTACGACCACAACCTTCGCTGCATATGGACCGTGGAGGTCGACCCTGGCTACACTGTTAGGTGGGTGCTGCACCGTCCATTGTAGGCACCTGCAGGTCCCACTGGACTCTGTGGGTCATGTTGAAGTGTGTAGTACGTGTGTTGTGCGTGCATCAGTTACAGCTGCTGAATCCATACGATCTTGATCCAGCAGCAGCTGATTATTCGGCGACGCTGCATCGGCAGCGGTGCACGAGCGCAAGTATTGATGAATGTCAACGCATCCGTCAATAACACCGCGGCCTTGATAAGGAAAAACTAAATTATAGGTGACGTTTCGGTAATGGCCCTTCTTCATGGAACAAAAAAGTGCTATGAAGGAGGCTCATTTGCCCCAAATGTTGCCTATTGTATATGTTTTGCCCCCTCAAGGCATTGTTATTCATGACTTTGTTGAGTTATTTTTAATGAGCAACTGAAATCCTTCCCTCCATCCCTAGGTACCCACCATAATTCCCATACCAACTAACCTCCCTCCCCATACCTATTCACCGTATCACCTTTAGCTGCCCTCATTGTACCACTCATAACCCTTGCAAAAGCGCCTTGGATAAAGGTGCGATATAAATATAAGATAAGATCATGGGCGGCGTTTGGGGGAGGGGGGGCACTGGACACCTTTATTCATTTATTTTCAGAAGTTTACAATGAAGGTGAAAAAAAATTGTAATGATATGCACTCGCGATTCCGAATGTGAGGGACAAAGCGATCCCCTGCTCCCCCCCCCCCCAAAATATAGAAGTCAAACTCCGCCTATGACTGAAATCAATTAATCAAATTCAATTAACTAAGCTCGCTTGTGATATAATTAATGACAATTCGCAAGTTAAAATTAAAAGTCAAACGGTATCCCTGCTCAAACTGGTATGAGGCAGTGCTCATTTGTATTGGTGGCGCTGAGTCTGTGCTGCAAATTCCACATTCATGTGACAGGAGCCATTTACCCAAGAGGGCACCCACAATTGACTTGTGGTACTCACTTTATCAAAGTTGGTATGACAATGGACTCCTTTAACCACCTGAATTATATTTTACCTCATGACCTTCCGATTGTAAGTTAAGCTCTCTGCTATAGGTCAACTGTGGTCTCGTTTGACAGCTCGTTTGTGTTTGCGTGTATTTTTAATGCTTTCCAACTATGGTTGGAAGCACGTGTGCATTACCTCTGTCGATCTGTCAGTAATACGGGGGGGGCATAATGCTAGTTGGGGTTTACCCTGTGGAAAAAAAAAGCGAAATTTTTCATCGTGGCCTTCAGACAAACTGCTTCCTGTGCGTTTGATGCGAGTGCTGCAATTATTGTTGCTAGTTATACACTTCCCGAGTGTCAATGCATTATGGGAGGAAGCGTTCCATGATTCATGCACGTCCGTGGTCTTTCCTTCTTCTTAGTGTGTAGCAAAGAAATGCCATCTGTCGTGCGAACACTAAAAAGTGATCATTACCTCTTGCCCTTGGTCAGTACGCGAATGCTGAAAGATTCAGCAAATTATCGGCATTTTTTTGTTATCAAACTAAGCGTGTGGAGATGGCTCAAGGGGGCTACTGTCGTGCCAGAGCACTGAACTGGCTCTGCTGAGACCGTGGGTTTGAATATTGGCAGCCGTCCATGATTAAACCCTGCTTTTCCAAGTGTAGTATGTGAGCTCAGTGACCAATTACTGCATACACGCCCATGAAGGTGAATATATTTAATCACACTTAATTTGGTTTGATTGCCAAACGACACATACTTTTTACAGGGTTTGTCAAAAGCTATGCCAAGTGTGCATAAGAGGTTGATGGAAGGGACTTCAGAGATGGATTTGTGACGTCATCTTCCAAAGCTGTTCTCACCGTGAGAGTTCCGAACAGACATTTCTTCTTCCTATTACAAAATAATGTCAACTTAAAACGCACCGCCACACATCATTCTCTCGCTCTTGTAGAGAGAGGGAGAACGACTCAGAGGCTCAAGGAGGAACCACAGACAAGTGGGAAGGTAGCCACGTGATGAGCCGGCGGCAATAATTGCCAAAGCTCTGCGGTCCTCTATATATAAAGGTGCTATCCGCCAATTAATGAGTGTTTACCTGTGGGAAGAAACCGGAGCACCACTAGAAAACCCACACGTGCGATGGGGAAGCACTCTATCCCATACAGAGGGAACAAGTGGATTGCACATTTTTGCTGCTACCGTCTCCTAACAAGCCACTGTACGGATCCTCTTTGACACCCCCACGGGAAAGGAGTTTCACAACATTTGCATGATCCACCAAACCTCGCATCTATAGTGCCGGAGTACAGGTATGCATAGCCACCACTGCCCAACTTATACGAATTGTGCACTAGAAATAAAATGGTCAAATTCACGTATTCCTGCATCCAGTGTAGTTTTAAGCATATGGCAGAGTAACGCTGTTTATTATGGTAGTAAATAGCTAGAATTATAACTTTGTAACTTAGCTAAGTTAATTTTGAATAGCCTAAGTCAACACAACATGACTCATATGCTCCCTCTACGTTTCAATTGACGTACCTTTTATTTCTGACCATTAAACGACCTGTCTGTGCATGCGACATGTGTAATAATAGTACATCTGTGACACTTTGATAATTTCCTGTAAATGGCACAAGTTGGGGGAGGGAGGAGTAATATATTTGTTCACATGAAATATATATTAAAAAATTGCTTTCCAAATAAATGTGGTTCACGCTTATGCTGCCCTTAAAACTGTTTGAAATGATGTACAGTATATATTTTTTATTTTATTTCCACGATCAAATTTTTTTTTGGCCAAGGGTGAAAACGTGAATGTGTGAATGGCCTGTGTAGTTGCTACTGGGATGCTGAAGGTTGCTTAAAGTTCTCTTATTAGCGCCTTTTTAAGTATTGCTTTTGGTTTTCATGATAGATATGGGCATACTATTGCGCTGCATATTTAATAAAGTTCACTAGAATTATAATTTGTGTGCGTGTGAGAACTATTTCTATCACATAACTTTCAAATAACACTTAACCCACTTTTAAATTTAATAATCTCGCCTGACAACGGCTGTGGTGGTAAAGTTTTACTTGTTAATTATTAACGTGCATTTTTGTATTTTATTGCCAATTATATGTCAATAGCATCGTGAAAAAATGCAAATTGTAGTTACCCCATTAAATAAATTCCAAACTTACAGATACCGCAATCGTGCCCTAGAGTATTAGATTGTCATCATCTTATTTGTGATTTCCCCATCAGTTATTCAATAACATAAATTATGTTTCATAGAATTTATTTTTACAAATGTAACGACAATACAATATAATTGCCCTTTGCCATGCTGCAGGCATGCAACTGAGCATCATTGACTCTTAACCCTTTCCTATTCCGAGACGTTTCAGGGTAGGTGTCCTGTTCACGCGCAAGTGGTCAACGTAAATTTTATTTCGGGAAGCGTAGCGCCGCTGTTTTTAAAGACATTGTACTCACCGCAGATAACTGTAGTGACACGACCGCACTTCATGATAGCTGGCACCAAACTGTGCCACACGCCCTCCCGCATGGCGTTTTACTTCTGATTTTGTTCCGATGACATTCTGATGACGTACACGTACGTCATCCGATGACATACGTGACATACGTGTACATCATCGGAATGGGTTAAGCTCACGATACATGTAAGATAAGGGATAAACTTGCAAGAATTCTTGATTTTATTCCCAAAAGGTGTGCACCTCATGATAAACATTCCCACTTTGTGCCTTCTCCCATATCACCGAATTGCCCCCCCCCCCCCCAAAAAAAAAAATCCATATTGACGCAATTAAAATCTTCTTCCCTGATGTAATATTTTTACTTAATCTAATATTCAATTTGGCTGGTCACCTTAAAAACTGTGTATTGCACTGTTGTACGCAATGCGTTTTTTTGACCCCTCTGGTCGAAAAGGCTTTTCCTTTTGTCACTTATTTTTTTTTCTTTACCAAGTTTTGATAAACTCTTTGGTCAATTTTGGGCTGTTCTATATAGTATCAGCACAACTTCATAGTAAATTTGTATTTGTTGTATCATCTTCACGAGAGTTATCAAGACTACCCACTAGAGACAGGACAGATGGATAGACATAGCTATTATATTAATGCTGCCAACTGCCGTTGGCAAGCTTTGTAAAGAAATGCATTATTTTATTGAATTGTGGCCTTGAATTGTGACAATTTGTTGAATTGCAAAGGGTGTGAACCATTAACCCCCTACTATGCAGCATAGTAGGAGTGTAATGACAGATTAAGGCATACAGATAATTTGTAATTACTGCAGCTGTCATGCACCACTATTCGATAGTGGTGTAACCACAGCCCATGTGTCAGGCTGTGTGCTCTGAAGCTGCATACTATGGCAAAGCATTGCCACCAAGAGGTCATTAGAAGTGAATAGGCTGTAGTGACTAGCAGACAATCTACATGTACTCACTCACCCACTGCAATATGACATCGCCATTATCGGGATTTCTTTATCCCCACGTCATTATTATAACCAGCAGCCTAAAGGAGTTGAGATTTGTTGAATCCTAAATGTAGGTAGAGACAAACACCAAGCAAGCTTTTTCGTAAATTTTCTTCTCATGAGGACTCGTGAATGCAGTTCAGTAAGTCCTCTATTTACGTTGCTCCTATTTGTTGTAGGCTATAACGTCGCCAATAAATTAGTGATCGTAATTCGTTTGTAAATGCACTTATTCACATCAACGTGGTTTTGAAAGATTTTAAAGAAAATAACGCAGTATATATTTCCCCTGCTGTAGGCGGGTTCGGTTTGGTGCGATTTCGCGTAGTATTCATTTGGACTCGAAATTCGCTCCACAGTATGCGGTTTGAATTCATATTGTGTGTGTACTTGGCACGCTACTCGACAGGCAGCTGTTTCCTCGTGCGGTTTCGCGTTGTGCCGCCATTTTTGTCCCGCATCTATTACTACCGCCCCCGTGTAAAGTGAGGGAAAACTGTCGTTTGTACCGCAACACGCAACGCCACAGTGCCCCCTAGCGGGCACTCAAGTCGCAGTGTTTACAACATGGCCACACTGTACTACCCTCTCTCAATACAATCTCTACCGCCATTTCTGGAGAGTACTCTGTATTATCTTGCGTTTAGATTACTTTCTTGATTAGAAGCTTTCGTGACTGCAGGAATTCATACTCTTTGGTTCTTTCGGTAAAGTCACGATAGATAGGAAACTAAACAATTGTTTATTTTACTATCTACGTGACTTTAGTTTACTTGGCTGGTATAAATTTGCACGTGACAAGCCACTTCGTTGAGCTATCATTTGTGGCCAGGTCGCTTCTGGAAAAGAAGCTAATCGCTTAGTGGGCTTTACCTGGTAAAATATAAAAAAAATTTGATGTTGCGTGATTTTCTTACTTTTCCCATATACATTGCACTCATATCGTGTTTTCATATTGTTTCTTGTAACATTCTGACCCACCCCTACTGGACATCTGTGAAAAAGAGCGTTATAGCTCATCGGATTCTTCCAGTATAAATAAAGATTCTGATATACGTTCATGGATTTTTTTGATATATTTTGTTTTCGTTTTTTGGTACTTGCGCAAAGACTCGGACGTCGAACTACTAGGAGCCACTTTGATTAACACAGAACAATCCAGATCCGGGCTTTGTGCTTGATCTGGAAGCTGTACATTCCCTCGAACTCCTCCTGCCCGTGTGCTCTGCCCGTTTATATCGTTCCAGTTCCCTTTCTGGAATGTTCCCTCACTCTATTTCCCTTAGCCAATCCCTGTCCTTCCCCTCTAACCGATTCAACCTTCTCATTCAAATATTTTCCTCCAATCACTTCAAAAGCCTGCCTCCCGACCAATCCCTGTGGAGGCCTCTTTCCACCAATCGGAGACCTTGGTCTATCTTTGAATAGCCGTTAAGCTGCACTTTGGCTTGCGGTTATTTTCGGTCATTACACTTGTTTTAAAAAAATTGTCACCAAAAAATGTCCCCCCGGGAAGGTATCCTAAATTTAAACAATTAAGTCAAGTGGTAAAATAGATTGCAATTGACGCCATCGCGCCTAACGTCGCCTTTGCCGGAGACGCATTCCCAACGTAAAATTAGTACTTGACCGTACAGACATCATCGTACTTTACCGTACATTAATACTTCACCATTTTTTGCCTCGAGAGACTTCTGTTGAGGAGAGTGGCCCTTTGCCTTGACCCTAGGGATAGATTTGTCACAGCCTGAGGGCAACAAAATCAAATTGAGGCACTTTCACTGAAGAAGCAATTCACTGGCCACTGAATTGAGAAATTGCCTCTTAAGCTCGAGAAAGTGCTAGAATTTGGTCACGGTGTTTTGAATTTTCTCCTCGTTGTGAGCACCAAGTCAAAACTGCCACTCAACAAGAGTCAAGTCGACTTGTCTTACAGTAAAGTCACACAAGCTTGTGTTGTGCCCGAAACGTCGTGATTTATTTTATTTTATACCTATGTGACTTTACCGAAAGAACCAAAGAGTATGGATTCCTGCAGTCACGAAGGCTTCAAATGAAGATCGACTTGTCTTGATTGTTAAAATTAGAATTTTGTATTGTTTTCCATTTGGTGACCTTGAGCCAGAGTTGGAAATACCACGTACCCTTGACAGGTTTCGGTCTCTCTATTCAACTGCTGCTGAATGAAAGGGCAAAGTAAACCTGCGGCAAAGTATTTCAACCCACAAAACCACACTCTGGCAGTCTAATCACCGCACCACTCGGCCAGATAATGTTGATGTCTCCACGTTATTTATACCCTGTGTTAGCATCCTTTAGACCCAGTTTATCTAAACCCCCATGCAATCCACCTTTCTCCAAAGAACACACGAATGCTAATAGATTTGATTTGTGATTTCTGAAATCAAGGAGACAGCGGCATTCAATCCTGCTTTACAAGTAGGGTGTTACAGAAAAAAACCCCACAAAGGAACCACTACATCTTAACATTGTTTTAGCAGCCTCGTGTAACATACCATCGCCTGTGTCAAGGGAGCTTAATTGAATTTAAACTGTAAACCACAGCAGACCCATCACATTTAAATGCCCTGCAATTAGTGTCGAGGAGATTAGTCTCAAAATTAATATTGAAAACCGCTAAATAAGTTCGTGGCTAATTCTCAAAGGGCATTGCAGTCCACTTTAATGCGATGTGGAAAATCTACGGTGCTTTGAGAACAGTGAAAACACCCTCATAATCAATGTGTTAAAATTGAACGTCATTAGTAATCATAATTACATTCCTTATTTAAATAAATGAACGAGCCATAGTATCATCTCAGAATGGGTAGCACAGTGGTTAGAGCGCTTTGCTCACGATTGGAAGGTCGTGAGTTCATATCTCAGTAAATGTTCAACACACCATAACATCCATGCCTGAAGGTCCATACAAGTATTACCATTCCGAGTGTAGCCCTGCTATAGAATTGTCACCACTGCTCAAGTAAATGGAGAAAATACATGTTCATTTTCGTGCATCTGTGTATCTCATATTTTTTAAGTGATTACAGTGAAATTTAAAGCACTTTAGACCTTTGCCACAACCTTTCCCTACAACCAATCAGCCTTAGGGCCATCATTTTGGGGACCCAAATTTGAAGATCCTAGTTTTCAGCAGTTCATATTTATAAGCATGTACGTGAATATATCTGTGCCATCTTTCATTTTTTCCAGCACGTTTAGGGTTTATATCAGTCAGTCACGGTTGTCAGCGCATATATTAGATGTCCACGTTAGTGGGACAATTTGAGGTCAGACTTTTTGAAGAGCTCTCCTGAATTCAGAAATCTGGAATAGAACATAGCCATAGCCCAATAAACGCATTCGCATGATGGAGGGGTGTCGCGTTACCGAGACGGACACGTGAGAGGGTACGTAGATGCCTGTTACCAGGATGTACAGCCGGATACTCATACACCACTCGCTCTGTGAGAGCAGACCTTGTAGGTCAGGCATTGACTGTGCAATTCTTAGCAGATCTTGCGGAAGGAAGGGAGCGAAGGCGTGGTGTCGTGGCTTCTATAGCACTAATCGTGACGTGATCTTTGATCTGGGATGCTGCATGTATTATGTGGTCACGTGAATGCGAATGTGAATGCACATATCCACGATGATGCAGGGGACCAATATCCCAGGTTCAATTATCCCCGGGGTTATCCACGATTTTAACTCCTCTTATTCGTGGGGTAAAAAACTTGCAGATAACCGCAGATATAATGATTCATTTTCTGCACGATGCCCGCGGTGATGAACAAGTTTCGTCTCAGTGTCCATGTGTGTGTGTGTGTCTCTCTGTCTTTGTGTTTGTCTCCGTGTTTGTTTGTTTGTTTACATGTCTACATGTCTCCGTATTTGTGTGTGTCTCCTTGTCTTTCTCCATGTCCCTCTGTCTCCATCTATCTGTAAGTGTATTCGCGTCTGTGTTGTCTCGTGATCAAAGCAAGTGCTGCCAGTGCACATGTTTTGATACGGAGCATTGTTTCTTTATGTGCATAACCTGCTGGTATTGGGAAGCAGCTTTTCTGTGCATTATGGGCACAATCTTGCGCAAGATAAAATAAACTGGGCCACGGATAATAGGAGTTTATCGAGATTTCTACAGCTGCCGTGGATAATAGGAGTCGCCTTGGATAACAGGAGTTCTGCAGTATCTGTACAATTTTTCCTAACTTGACTTTTACGTGTGTCATGTATGATGCATGTTTGCGTGGTTTCGCTGCGTTGGTGCGGTGTGGGTGTATGGGTGCGTGGATGCTGTGCTTGGACCTGATGTGTGGGTCTGTACGGGTGCGGTGCGCGGGTGCATGCTTGCTGCGCGTGGATGCGGAGCGTGGGTTCTGTGCGCGCGTGTGCATGGGCGGTGTGTGCGCGCGTGTGCATGGGGTGCGTGTGTGCGCGTTGGGTGCGTGCGTGCACGTGCGCGTGGGAGCAGCCTGCAGTTCAGCGCGTTCGACACGGAGGCGTCGCACGATGTGGTGCGTGTGTGGGATGGCGTCACCGAGGGGCAGCTGCTGCTCAAGGAGCTCAGCGGCTCCGTGCTGCCGAGCCCCGTGCACAGCACGCTCAACGCCATCGCCGTGCAGTTCGACACCGACTTCTTCATCAGCAAGTCCGGCTTCGTCATCCACTTCTCCAGTGAGCCCTGCCGCAAGGCGCGCGCGCGGAGTCTCGTCGTTCACGCATCGCCTTTGTTTCACCAGCAGCTTTTGCAATTGCTCGCTCAAAACCACTGTCAGTGGATGGGCAACACACCAGTTAGTCCTAGAGAGCCCCTCTCGAGGCGATTTGGCCAACCCAGGCCACGCAGGCCAGACGTCTCAGACGAGGTGGGAGTACGCACACTTGATTCTTGCTGATCGAATCACTGCGCTGAATCTATTTATACTGCTGGATGGACAGAGGCAGTGGAGGGATTTAATAAACGTGGTCTTGTAGAACAATGCCCATCATTTTGGTAATATGTTGATGAGCAATACGACATACACCTTATTTAATGAGATACATTTTTTATATTTTGAAATGTGGGAGAGTGCTGATGCATCAATTGATGGCTACGGGCAATGCCACTGACCTGCCCCCACCCGCTCCACCGACCCGCACTGACCAGCAGGGTGAAGTATGGTCAAACAACCTCCACGGTACCAGCACAACGTGGGGCGGCCTTCAACCAGCAGTGCATTGACAAAGTGGCGTAGATTATTTTCCATCATCATAATATAATTTTTTTTTATGAACTACCACATTATATACGTGCAACATTTTGAAATGCACGTTTGGAATAGTTGAGGATTCACATTTCAGCAAGTAATAATGTATGCACATCGAGGGTCCTATTCACGTGTGGACTCTGTTCATTTGTTCACTTTTTGATGAAAACTTGCTGATGTCTCAATTACCAACAATCAGGCAAATCCCCAAGGTGATGCAATTCAGCTGTTTCATCAATATGTTAATGTGGCCTTAGCTGTTCGTGTGCAGGAGGCGATTATTGCACTGACCACACAGTTCCCAATTGATTCGAGGAACAATGCATCAAGATGCTTTCCTTAAAGAGGTTTTAAATGCATTGATGTTTTGGTTGTAATTTATTCCCTGCGGTAATCGTTATAAAACCAGGGGACATTTGATCAAAGAGTGCGTCATTACAATGGGTGCACTCAACTCATCAATCCTTTTCATTTAAACCAGTTTATACTACATATATATGTTTGACCAATTAAGGGATTTTTCTGCTATTCAATGTCCACTTAAGATAAGCTGTTTATACGTCTATCCAATATTAACTTTGTAAATGTTGTGGCTTTGCTCTCCAACACACCAGTGTGCTGTACTAGTAATGCATTGGCACGTTCTGTTTACGTGACAGACGTTACTAATTGGCTGGATTATGGATGATATTGGTCTCGAAAGCCTACGTGTTAAATTGACACACTTAATTCATTTAAGTTCCACAATTTATATCTTGATTTGAAGATTTCGTGACTGCAGGAATCCATACTCTTTGGTTATTTTGGTAAAGTCACGTAGGCACGTTTCGAGTGCAATGTCAAAGCTCTCAAACCAGTGAATTTCCCCGCCTTCTCACCGTGCTCGCAATAATGGGCATTGCCCAAAAACGTCCCTGTGGATGACATACTTCGCTCTTATAAGGCAGTCTTTATGATCGGTCTAGGGCAGTGGCTCTCAGAGTGTTGTCCCTGGTACCAGCCAGGGAGTCCACGACGACCTCCAGGTGGGTCCTGGAGTCACTGTGATGCCAATGTGCAGTTTCATATCCGGATAATAACGACAATGTTCATTACACCTTTTATGTCGGACAGCAGTTCTGCTGCTGTATCTGTTCCACCTGATGAAGATTGCTTGTGTTGCGATCGAAACGTCGTGATTTATTATTTATTTTATACCTACGTGACTTTACTGAAAGAACCAAAGAGTACGGATTCCTGCAGTCACGAAAACTTCAAATCAAGATTTGACTTATATTTAATTTAAAAAAAGATAGGTAAACTTGCCTGATTAAACTACCCTCAGCCAAAGATCTAAATGCCCCCCCCCCCCCCAAAAAAAGGCTGCATTTAAAAACTGTTTTTATGTTCCGGTAATATGGAATTTTTTTGTGTGAGTGGTATTTAAGAGAGATAAGTAAATACGTTCTGTCACCAGGAGTAGGGGACTGGGTGGGTGGTCCACATAAATATTTGAATAGGCTGAGTGGTCCGGCGGCCAAACATGTTTGGGAAACACCGCTCCTAGATCATTTTCTTTGACATTGGTGAATGGATATGTATTGGGTTGTTTCACGGCGTGCCGCTTGCTAGATGATAAGGAACGTCAGTCGGTGTGTACGCACACCGGCCAGCGTGCTTGCCCTTCTTCACCTGCCGAGTGGCAAGTTTTGCCCTTCCCACTGCCATGCGCTTGTTCTGGCCTTTGTTGGCAATCCAAGATTTTTGTTAGAAATGGTGTTTCATAATTTTATGTTTCCTTAATCACCGTCTGCAAACACACGTTTTGCATATATATAACCACCTTGGTACCTGACTGGACTGAATTTACACTGCGTGAATTTTGGTGACACCTGAGCTGATGTAGGAAATGTTATCAGAGCACATGTCAACGTGGCAGATAGTCACCGGTAGTTCGCCGAACAGCAGCCACTTCACTGCTTCGTGTGTGGAGGCTCGTTTTCTAAATTCAGGGAATGAAATATGTGAACTGGCCGGATAGCATTGCTAATAATGGGAATAAGGAGGTTGTGACGGGTAGAGAATGTATGACGGATGTGCCGGAGGGCTAGTTACAGAGATGGCTATTATTGAGGAGTGAAGGTTGGTGATCAAGGGTTGGAAGATTCCAAGCTGGTAGGAAACCTTGTAGACCTGTAGGCTTGTGCCCTGAGGGTGCAAACGCTTCAGCATCGGTCAAAAGGAAATATTGTAATTGTGAGATATTCTCATCTTGATTTTATAACCTTGAATACCATTCAAGATTTTGCTTTGTTTATCCATAATTTTAATAAAAAATACTTTTGTCTTTAGCTTTTGGTAAAAAAAGATAAATCAACCAATTGACGCTTTAATTTTATTCATTGCCTTTTCAACTGACACAACCTCACGTTAATTTTTAATCCTATGCGGCACAGTGGTGATACAGTATATGTTTCTTTAATTGATCAAAGTAATACCTTCACCCCATTAGAGGGTCAGGTCAGAACCGACACCTTTTGATAAAGTGTAGCATAAAATAAGTCACGCTGTCGTTCGATTGTTAGCGTAATGGAAGTCAGAGCGTCTTCCATGCTCAAAAGAAGAACGTGGAAAATCTATTTGGGTTGTCCGCTGCTCGACTCGCGCGTTTTATCGCGAGTAATTGACGGAAAGTGCAAGTCCTATGACACCATAAACCGGCGAAATTATGAACGCAGGGTTACTTTAAAACGTAGGCTTTCGTGAACAATATCCATAATACACGTTTTTTTAGGTTAGATCGCGTAAATATACATTTGTCGTTAAACTTGCCACCACCCAACACAGCCAATGAGTAAGGTTTGTTACGTAAACAAAACATGCCAATTCGTTACTCGTACAGCAAACCCCGGTGTGTTGGAGGGTAAACCCACAACATCATTGCAAAGTATTTGTAAATGTTGTGTATTTTTTCTCCAACACACCGGTGTGCTGTACTAGTTTTACGGAACAAACCTTACTAATCGCCTGTGTCGGGTGGTGGCAGGTTTAACGACACATTTATATTTGCGCGATCTAACCTAAAAAAACTGTAGTTCAGTTCAACTGAGAGTAACCCTCCCTAATACAGAACAACTTCAATGTATTATTTATTAACATGAGAAGTGCAGCCAAGGTGCAAGAGCAATACAATACAAATGTGAAATACATTCATAAAGTTCCAGGAAACTGGCAATGAGATATATCGTATTATCGTGAAATTTGATATCATATAAAATTGCAAAAGTTATATTGCAGCAAACCTCATCGGAGGTAAAGGCTGCGGATAAATCGTGGTCACTGGCGTTCATAAAATGTCTTTCCACTCGTATTTTCTTCGTATTTACCCTTGCAACCACTGCTGCAGGCGTGGAAGAAGCCCTCCATTCCTCCATACTGACCCATCTCACCCACTGCATCGTGGGAAACCAAAACAGATCATAGGCAGCTCGAAGAGTTGTAGGTCGGTAACCCCATCATGAGCTTGACCAGGCTTCAATCAATGCTCTCTGCCAGCACACATTTCTGAGCAATCAGCTGAACAAGCACCGGTGGCCTGGCTTAGACCTGATACCAGTAATTGTCACCCATTTCCGTTATGTCGTGCAGAGTTTTTTTCTTCTCATGAGGTTTTTTTTACTTCTATCTCTCACGCCTGGAAGGACGATTTCGAGTCGAGTGTTTCTCGCTGTGACGGTGCTGTCAATATTAATGGGAAAACTCGAGCCCTGATTTTATTGAGACCGCTGTTAAGGGCTCGACTTTAGAGGGTTGCACCGAGTGATGGGCGACGGTAAAAATGTAACCTGTCGATAACGCACGAGATAAACCGATGGCACGACAGTTTTTGATACTCTTTAAGGTGAACCCCCACGCGTGCTCTTCGGCGAATCAGAACGCGGGCTGGTGGGCGTGCGGGGGGCTCATAGGAACCCAGCCCATGTATGGGGGCGCAAGGGAATTGGGGCTGGGGGCATCCCGGATTGGGGTGGGGGCAGTGCCGGATTATCCTCGTAGCAAAAGTAGCATATGCTCCGGGCCCCGCGCTAAATGCTTTCAAGCTATAAATTCCGGTTCAGTGATTCTGCACTTGCTCTATTACTATAGTATTATACTGCCTTCAACTTTTATGAACGATTGGGTATTTAAGGTTAGAGTTGTCGTATTATGTTGCTGTATAGCAAATGAAAAAATAGAATTACTTTACTATGCAAGTAAAAATTTTGTGTTTTAATATTTGCGTGTTTTTTATTTTATTTAGAGCTCCTTTATAACATATGCTACAGGCCCCGCACTAGCTTACTCCGGCACTGGGTGGGGGGGAGTGAGAAGCAGCGGCTGGCAGGGTTGGTTAGGGTGAGATGGGGAGGCATTTGCCGTACTTTGTGGTAAATTTGCCGTGGTTTGTGT